TATATGAGATAAATCAGATATACATCAAATAAACACAATATTACAATGTACAATTGCACAAAAGGCTGCAAACGAACAGCGCGCATCTGAAGTGTCTCTGAAGGAAATAATGCATTATTTATCGGCTTTAAGATATCGGCCAAATTTTCTTATCAGGCCGATACCGATAACAGAAAAAATGAGCCGATATGGGCCGATACCGATATGGTGGCCGATATATCGTGCATCCCTAGTAAAGATCATGTTCCATGAAGATATTTAGTACATTTCCTACCATAAATATATCAAAACTTAATTTCTGATTAGTAATATGCATTGCTAAGAACTTCATTTGGACAATTTTAAAGATGATTTTCTCAATATTTAGATTTTTTTGCACCCTCAGATTCCAGATTTTCAAATATTGTCCGATCCTAACAAACCATACATCAATGGAAAGCTTATTTATTCAGCTTTCAGATGATGCATACATCTCAATTTCGAAAAATTGACCCTTATGACTGGTTTTGTGCTCCAGGGTCACAAATACGATACAGTCAGCTTTACCTCAAACAGGACGTAGCCGAAGCCCTTCCCCATCCCAGACTCTCGGTCTCGCACCAAACGCACCGCCTCCACATTCCCACAATCCTCAAAGTGTTCGCGCACCGGAAGCTCCATTATATCTGCCATAAAAAAAAAAACAAATAAAGTGTTCATAAGAGAAACAGAAGATATAGAGATTTCTCAACACCGTTACTCACCGTACGGTAAATTTCCCACAAATATGGACCTTTTATGATCATGCTGTGGAAAAAAATATTGATGATTATGTACACACACATTCAAAATCAGCTGAATTATATAAACAACATTATTAATGACACTCACTCCGCTGTGCTGAGAGACGCGGTCCACTCGGATATGAAACCCCGGCTGAATCTCCTGCCCATTCCTGCACAATAATCATATGCTTTTGACAATATATTTGAATTTTATTCAAACTGAATAAACAGCTGATAAACATTCAGATTCCAGATTTTCAAATATTGTCCGATCCTAACAAACAATACAGCAATGGAAAGCACATTTATTCAGCTTTCAGATGATGCACACATCTCAATTTCGAAACATTGACCCTTATGACTGCTTTTGTGCTCCAGGGTCACAAATACGATACAGTCAGCTTTACCTCAAACAGGACGTAGCCGAAGCCCTTCCCCATCCCAGACTCTCGGTCTCGCACCAAACGCACCGCCTCCACATTCCCACAATCCTCAAAGTGTTCGCGCACTGGAAGCTCCATTATATCTGCCATAAAAAAAAAACAAATAAAGTGTTCATAAGAGAAACTGTGGCATCACAGAAGATATAGAGATTTCTCAACACTGTTACTCACCGTACGGTAAATTTCCCACAAATATGGACCTTTTATGATCATGCTGTGGAAAAAAATATTGATGATTATGTACACACACATTCAAAATCGGCTGAATTATATAAACAACATTATTAATGACACTCACTCCGCTGTGCTGAGAGACGCGGTCCACTCGGATATGAAACCCCGGCTGAATCTCCTGCCCATTCCTGCACAATAATCATATGCTTTTGACAATATATTTGAATTTTATTCAAACTGAATAAACAGCTGATGAAAACATTACAAGTGATCCACAGCACTCCAGTCCATCAGTGAACATCTGGAGAAGACAAAAGCTGAAACACATCCAGCATTAAGATGTTTGTAACTAAAATACATAGAGTCCATAATCCATAATAACTCTTCCTCCAGTGAAAAAGTGTTCTGGTGTGAATCAGGAGAGAAATCTGCACAGATCAAGCAGCGTTTAAACAGCTCTAAACACATATGTGGCTGGATTTTGATGCGAGAGACAACACCAGATGCACTTTTTCACTGGAGGAAGAGTTATTATGGATTATAGAATCGTATTTTAGTTAAAAACTTCTTAATGCTGGATTAGTTTCAGCTTTTGTCTTCTCCAGATGTTCACTGATGGACTGGAGTGCTGTGGATTATTGTGATGTTTTTATCAGCTGTTTGGACTCTCCTTCTGACGGCACCCATTCACTGCAGAGCATCCATTGCTGAGACACTGATGCAATGCTACATTTCTACAAACCTGATGAAGACACAAACTCATCCACATCTGGGATGGCATGAGGGTGAGCACATTTCCAGCAGATTTTCACTTTTTGGTAAACTATTGCTTTAATTTAAAAGTCATCAATCAATCTGATCATTCAGTAATTAAACTTCGAATCAATATTGCACATAATCTTGTACCATTTCAGAGCGCCAGCAGCGGTTTCCTCCTCTTTGAAGACGATGTAAGCGTTAATATTCTGTTTTTTTGGATGGACTTTCCTCCTAGAAATGGACAGACAAGATCAGTATATTAATAACAACTAGATAAAAAAAGCTCATCAAGACAAACTTTAGGTTGGCTTGACAAAGCCTCGCCTGTAAGTTTAAAGCAGTTGTAAAATACTGAAGTTTGAAAATTTAGATAGATTAGATAAATGTTGATAACATGTTTCTAGCATGATTAGCCTGTTACTAACATACTCTTAGTATGTTTCTAGCATGATTAGCATGTCATTAGGACAGATAGATTGATAGATAGATAGATAGATAGATAGATAGATAGATAGATAGATAGATAGATAGATAGATAGATAGATAGATAGTACATAGAAGGGAAGTCTAATTGAGTCTTGGCTCATCTGAACATTCCGTCAATGTAAGTCTATGGGATTTTTATGATTTTTAATCTTTATTTTTATGAAAACTATAAGTCGGATCAGTCTGAAAAGATACAGCACACCAAGTCAGATCGGTCTGAAGAGCTGGGCTGAGTTTGGTGGTTCTAGTTCGAAAGCTCTAGGAGGAGTAGCGTTCAGAGACATCATCAAACTCTTCACTATAGGACGCAATACTCACTGGATAGCTGCCACTTTACGGGACATAGTTGGGTCTTCTTGCACCTGCAAAACACCTTAATTAAAGCTCAAACTAGTGATCCAACAATTAACGATAGAATGACTAGAGCAGAAGACCCACCACTGAACGGAAGCGGACCGACTCGATGGCTCCAGCCTGCTTGAACAGAGACAACAGCATCTGCAAAACACAACACACGGGACTTTAGTGGAAACGTCAGGGAAGATTCACGATTGTTCTTAAAGCGGTGTGTTATAACTGAAGCACCTTCTTCGTGCAGCTGGGAGGCAGATTCCCCACAAACACCGTTCGTTTCTTTTTGATTCGCTCCTCTGCCATGTTCTTCACTGCCTTTCTGTGTTTGACGGGCCACGCCTCTTCTGTCGTTTCATCCGTTGCATCAGCGCGCTTGAGTTTGACTTTCTTTGCACTTGTTTGTCCTTCATCATCTGCATTCTGTAGAGCGCTCTCTCTAAGGATTTCAACATTGAAAATACATTTCCATGTGTTTTCCATTACATTTTCAGTTGTGATTACCTCTTTTATTTTTTTTTAAATCACTATGAATTCATTTTATTAATTTAAATGAAATTAAATTTTTTTTTAAATTTAATTTATGAATTATTTCAGAATGAGACAAGCTCCAACATACAGAAATAATAAAAAAAATTATAATAATAAAAATAAAATAAATGAAAAAAAGAGACGGATAATAAAATAAAACAGGATAAGTGAATAAAAATACATTTATATATTTAAATTTAATTATTTGTACTATTATGCAATTAATTAAAATCCTTAAAATTAATAAAAAAATTACTTTAAAATTAAATTATTTAAAATGAACTGAATTATATGCTAATGAAGCATTCAGTGCAATTTACGGTTTAATTAAAAATAATAATTTGTTTTGCAAGCAAGCTTTCCTTTACATATTTTAAAGCTGAACATAAGTACTCAGAAATTATATTCTTTAAACATACGTCCATGATTTCCATGAGGTTTTATTAGTGCTGGCCTGTATACCGGTTCATACCGAATACCGGTGTTTATTTTTGTTATGATATGAATTTTTAAAATACCGCAATATGTCGCAGTATGTCGCTTAAACAACGTTCAGAACGCGGCACTGTTTGAAAGAAATGAAAATAATTGAAGACAAAATGTGTTTTACTGAGAAAAAACAAGATTTGGTTTTTAAAAAGCCTTTTTCCAAAAGGTACATCTGGAAAAAGTGGGCTCGTCTTATAATCAGGGTCGTCTTATATTCGGGCCAATACGGTAATCTAGCCAAAACAACCTCATAGTGTAGATGCATGCTGATTTTATCAGACGATGCTGTGATTATAAATGAGAGACTCCTGGTTAACATGTATTAAAAGGGGTCGTGTTTAGTCACTATTTAGTGTGGTATTGTTTGGCAATATTTACTCATCATGACAGTAAAATAGAGCATTCTAAGTCAATATACTGCAGATTTCCTCTCAATCAGTAGAAGATATGGTTAACACCCGCTCATGCATGAAAAAAAAAATTCCGTCATGTTCCGTGAAACCGGTATCATTTTGAAAAATACCGTGATATCAATTTTTGCTCATACCGCCCAGCGCTAGGTTTTATTAACTTCCACTACTATATCAAAGGCAAGAAAAAAAACATCTTTAAAATCCCATTTAATACCAGGTTTTCTATTACTGCGAGGACACAGTGTTGTGAAGTCAGATCTGACCGATCCCGTCTCAGAAGTGTGTCTCACTGCAGAATCACTGACCTGTCCTGTAGCTTCTTCTCAGCTGCCGAGAGCGTCTTTGGAGTCTTTTTCGATTTCTGCTTCTGAATGTGACCCTGACCTTTGACATCAGTGCTCTCAGACACTTTAGATTCAGTCTGATGAGAAGAAACACAGACGAACCACCATTAGCACCAAAACAAACCCCACAATCATGCTCCTCGTCTCATACATGTACCTTCGGTGCAGGAACGAAGACTAAAGTATTTGCAGATGATGTGGAGGAGAATAAAGATGATAAAGCTCCAGCTGTGTGTTTGTCTGGGAACAGGCTGCTGGACACCTGACCGACCGTGTAATCTCCAGCATCATCTCTATCAGTACTGCAACAACAACAACAAACATCAGAAGACCAACACCCGGCTCTCACAACACACTACCAAAATATCGGTAGTCCAAAATCCAAAATTATGGATTTTAAGATGATAATACCATGGTATTCATTGAAGAACCTTCGAGTAACATGCATATTCTTTGGTAAATAAATGTATTACTATATATAGATATATACATACATACATATATATATATAATGTATGTGTGTGTGTGTGTGTGTGTGTGTGTATATATATATATAGGGGTTAAATTGGAATTTGCTATGTGGGTACACATTATATATATATGTATATGTGTGTGTGTCTGTGAGAGAGAGTGTGTGTGTGTGCGTGTGTGAGAGTATGTGTGTGTCTGTGAGAGAGAGACAGAGTGTGTGTGTGTGTGAGAGAGAGAGAGAGAGAGAGAGAGTGTGTGTGTGTGAGAGAGAGAGTGTGTGTGTGTGTGTGTGTGAGTGTGTGTGTGTGAGAGTGAGTGAGTGTGTGTGTGTGAGAGTGTGTGTGAGTGAGAGAG